CTTCATTCCGTTTTTTAATAACAATGATGAGTTTAGATTTCGGCTATTATATCAGAGTTATATCTTATATTTTTATTACATAGTATTTGCTATTCAATTTTAATTCTTAGTGCCATCGAAATTGTAATATGAGTATTATAGAATGCCACGAGTTTATAAGCTTTGGATATTTAGTGTAAACCCTCTTTAAATTAAGTCTTTACTTTCCTTTACTTTACTTTGAAGATCGCAATAAACTTTTAATATAGAATTTAATGTAATACTGCAAACAGCCCTGAGAACTTACCAAGCAGACTTAATTCACAATAAATTTTCCACCAAAAACCAGTTAAACAGCTTTGATTGTCGACTACCATACACGCATGTATTTGTGCGCATGTTCCAGATGTGATTGAAAATACACCAAAAATAGATTTTATTCGAGTATTATCGACATTAAACCTAGGGGGAGGGGGGAAGGGGGGACTTCAATATAAAAATGACGGGGGTGCTCGTCGTACCTTTCAGGGGCTAAAGAAAGCGGTTTTGATACCTCTTAATTCCGGTTCACACTAGCGACGCAAGCATAATATAAACATAAAGGAAGCTTATGCGCTAGTGAGAACGGCTGCGAAATAAGTATAACCATAAGAATATCAAAACCTTGCGTTCTTCTTATGATTATGTCGCTGTTATGTCCAGTGAGGGCGCCGGCATGTTGCAATAAGCATACGCATAAGCATAAGCGAAAGATTTTCAGCTAATCAGCGAGCAGTTTATGCATGAAAGTTTCAGTCAATGTGTTGTTTCAGAATTGGTACTTCTTAGCGGTGAAAAAATTTCAAGCCACGCCCACAAAACAGGATCTTGGTACCTCTCAGGGATTCTTTGCAAAATTTCCGAAGAGCACCCCCGTTCTTTTTATGTGGGAGTCCCCCCAGGTATTATAGTCTTGAAGGCTTCAAACTAGCGGCGGTGATTAAGGGACTGACGATCGTGGTATCAGAGTTCCGTCACCGTGAACCCAGTCAGAGCCGTCAAAACAAACAAGTTGGGCGGACTAGCTTGAATTTTTCCATTAAAATAGACAAAATGCTAAGCATACCGTTGTAAGCCGGGAAGGTAGCGTCTAAGTCTATCTAAGCTAATGATACATATTCAACAAGTACGACTGAAATATTCCTTGTTGTCTCACAGACGATTACAATGACTATCTCATACGTCCTTTTTTCCATGCCGCATTTTCCTACCTTGAGCCTCAAATCTTAACTTCGACAATGTCTCTGGCCTTGTGTCAGTTGTTTCCTCGGCTTGCAGACTTGGCAATATCAACGTTCAAAAGGAAGACTGGTCAAAAACGCGTACCACCGCACGTTCGGTTTACAACTTGCAGGGATATTTATATTACTATTTATAGACCGTGGTAAATTGAACTCAGTGAAGAGACCGAGAACCAATTAAATTAAAGAACTCTTTGCATAGGAACAAGAGCTCTTCCGTCGCTCAATGAAACAAAGAAGAACACTGCACACAGCAAAACAAGTTTTGCGAGTCACACTTAATCTAGCCAATAGCTTCAGAGTTATTTTTTATTCGCAGTGCCACAGGGCAGGAAACTAATGAAGTAGAACAATTGACTTCTTATTCTGGCGTTGTTTGTATCATTACCGCAAAAACAACCTCTCGATCGGAAAAGAACTGCGGGCAAATTGGCCAAACTTTTACTAAAACTTTCACCTAATAGTTTAATGAAGTTTCACGGCTGTTTCTCTTTCACTGCATCACGTTGAATTCATAATAGCTAGTAAATAGGACCAACTATTCTTGGAAGCTGGAACCATTTTGTTTAATATATGTATCATGTTGCTATTAAACACTGAACTCGTATCTGATTAACCTTGATAGATCAAGTGCGTGGGTTTGCGGTGGCTCCGCCAACGCTTTGGGAAATTTGTCGAACCATTTCGTCTGGAGTAGATTCCAGAAAGCAGCAAGGCGTTTAAACAGGGACTTAGACGAAATAGAAAGATCACGAATGTTCTGAAAATTACATCAGTGAAGGAAAGGAATCATGGCATGAGAAAGCTTCTGCATCATCTACTTGGAAAAATTTTCATCTCTTGAAAATTTGTTTATAGTCGAGAAATTTCTCTTGTTGAGAATTGACACTACATACAACAGTTTCAAGACGTTAATTTAAATACCCCAGAAAATTCTGCCTTGATCGAACTCAGTGTTACTCCAGTCGTTTTGAGTGGTCTGTAAATTGAAAGACACTTTTAATATGCTAATTAGCGAATTCGGATGTTCTAGATCAAAAGTTTTGCTTTGTGCACTTAACGTACTAAGTGTAATTACTCAAGGCAGTCACGGTTGAGCTTTACGAAACTGCGACCAGACGGGAGACAGACGGGAGATTTTATAACCCCCATCTCTCCCGCCCCACCCCCCAAAAAGGGGGCTCAATGTAGTGTTTGCATATACGATAGAAGATCTCAATTTTTTTCATACAATTTTCTCTCTGAAGAATCCCGCTATCCATTGATCACAAACTGACTTATGTATATATCCCATTAGCTTTGTCTCATTTGCTAGTTTTTCTTTCCTAATAAACGATCATTTGGTAATTTGAAGTGTGCGTCGCAAGAAAAGAACAGATAGTTCATGCAGTCAGTTCTATCAATTGCTAATGTTCGTTGTAAACGGTTTCCTTTCCTATTATTTCTAAAGCCCGGTCCTCACTTAAGAAGCAAGCATAAACAGTTAAGCATAAGCTAGTCTCCACTAGGGAGTAAGGATCCTTTATTTCTTATGCTTATGCTTATGCTTGCGTCGCTAGTGAGGATCATGCTTAAAAATGTTCTAACCTAGAGGCTTTCTCTTTTCTCTTTCAGTAGCAAAAAAAACAAAACAAAAAGAAAACAAAAAACAAAAAACAAAAACAAAAAAACAAAGAATGAAAACTCCTGGGACCAGGGTAAATAAATATCGGCCAAGAGCCCATAGGTCATGGGCCCCTGTATCGGGTTAGGGTTAGGTTGAAAATGTTTTGACGTCGCAAAGAGATGCAACACGTGCTACTGTGTTGCCTAGTTCCTGGGCCTCGATATTTCGCTGCGGTTTAGCGCATTAGTCATGTGGTCCGAGGAGAAAACCGAGGACTTCCCCCGGCCGTTCGTCTCGCATACACCACAAGTTGACCAATGACGGTCTTCAAGTCGCGACTGAACGAAAAAGATTTCCTGTCTTTTTGTCAAAAGTCGAACCTCCCGTAGGCTCAATTTGCGATAAAGGCAGGCCTTGTAAAGGTGATAGCGTATTTAGGGGCTTTACTACACTCAGTTTTTGTTATGGGAAAACCACACTTGGATACGCAATGACTCCCAACTTTTGATCAGAAAGGTGCTGTTTTCCGGTAAGTTGATATGATAGGTCCGTAAGGCGTACATTTATGTGTATTGTGTTGTCACAGGTGTTTTTAACCAGGTGTTTCTATAACCTGACAATGTTATGTTATAGTTTACATTGTACATGTCTACTTAATATGAAAATACAGTATAAGAAAAAAGGTAAGTATGAAATTTAGCAAAAGATAACAGACATAATGAAACTGGCAGTGGATTTCACAACTCAATTGGTCTAATCTGAGATAAAGGCTAAATCCTGCTTTTAACCGGCTGGTTCTAGATTGTCAGGAACAAGAATGAAACGTCACGTAAAAAAGCTCCTTACGCATTTTCAAAAGTGGGAAAAGTTATATCCTAGCCGGTGTTTTATATAATAATCAAATCAATGCGCGCGCCCTGATTGGCCAATCAGCTATGGTTTATTGTGCCAGTAAACTCATGGAAATTTCGCGTGTCTTCTGAATTATTATATAAAAGCAATAGACCACAATTTCCTATGGTTTATAGGATGATAAACCACTTGGGACGTTGGAAGAACACGAGAAGAATTCGTAAATCACTCGCCTGCGACTCGTGATTTACGAATTCTTCTCGTGTTCTTCCAACATCTCGCGTGGTTTATCAGCCTATAAACCATGAAAACTTGTGGTCTATTGCTTAAGTGTTCTTGGGCAAGACCCTCAACTCTCACAGATCCCTCTCCACCCAAGTGTATAAATGAGTACCGGCTAATTTAATGCTGGGGGTAACCCTGCGATGAATTAGCATCCCATCCTGGAGGGAGCAGAAATACGTCTAGTCGCTTCATGCAACGGAAACCGGGATAAGCTCTGGCCTGATGGGCCACTTGGTTCGTATGCAGACGTTACTCAATGAGTTAATTCGATGGCCTTGAGTAGAAAAGCCATTATTCTTGGCTTTAACTTTTTACCTACTTATCACACATGCTTTAGATTTTTATTTTGTTTTGTTTTGTTTTTCCTGTGTATTTGTAGGCTGTATTTGTTGTTTATTTTTTGATTTATTTGCATGTGTATCATCAGTGTTTAGAACAAAAATAGCCTTAATCAATATTTATAACAATCATGACAATTGTAATTTGATTTTGAAAATTGATTAACACTATTAAAGAAAAGAAGGACATTCCGGTTTGTATAGTTTACAGTCTTGAGGATTTTAATTCAGTAATGCAATTTGCGGTCTGAAATAAGCCTCACCGAAAAAAAACCCTTTATCTGTTAAACCGATTTCTCGATATCGGGGGATATTCATACATGCTAAGATCGCAATCTGACAGATTGCTCACTTGACAACTGACGAAACAGCCACCCACCCGCTGATGAAGCGCTACAGCCAACGTTTGGTCCGCCAACGGTTTTCTTTCTTTTTGAAGGCTCGCTTAACAAAAACGTTCTTTTTAGTTTTGTCTCCTTCTACCAACGAAATGAAATATGATAGACTCACTGCAAGATAATAATAATAACCATAAAAGAAATAACAGCTGATGCCCTGTTACAGTCAAACTTGTATATAACGGCCCTGTATATAGCGGTCACCCTGTGTATAACGGTCTCTGAACAACTTCCCAAAAATCGTCCCTTATATTTACTGTTAAGTTGACCTGCATATAGCGGTCACCTGTATATAACGGACGCGGTCACCCTTTGACTTCCTGAATCCACAATTTCATTACCTTTTACCTGTATATAACGGTCACGAAATTGGGTCACGATTAACGAATAATGACAAGCTTTATTCATCAGCTCGTTAAATAGCAGCCACCAAGGAAGGGGTCTCACAAAAATCCAAATATTAGTACAACTACTAATCCATGTCATCGCCTACGTCCAACACATGCTTGTGGCAGATGACGTTAAAGTGTCGTCGCTTTCAAACAATAGTTACTCTAACTGTAACAACACAACCGTAACCACACTGTTTTCACTTTCGTAATAGTTACCTGATTATAACATTGTACTGTACTTATCTGTTTCAAATTGTTGCCAATAAATGTAAATTGAGTGATTTCCACTTAAAAACGTTGTTCATTAGCTTTTAGTAGACTTTTACTGCACCTCCCTAAAAGTACACCATGGACATTTTATGGGCCTTTTTTATCGTGTTTATTACGTTACTGTTACTCGTTATTGTCAATGAAACGTTAATTGAGTAATTATTTGTACATAAAAATGCTATTTATTGACTTCCAGGGGAGTTTAAAGGAAACCCGTGTACAGCGGTCACCTGGCCATGTCCCAAGGGTAACCGTTATGTACAGGTTTGACTGTAGCTTACATAACGAGTTTAGAGTTTTCAGCTTATTGCCCAAGAAAGCTCCGGCATTTGGACAAGCCCAAATATTGTGCGCCCCGGGAATTGCGAAGACACGTATCACGCAGGCTGTGCTTGAAAATAAGGCCGGATGCATGCATGTCCACTGAACGTAAAAAAACAAAAGCCTGTGACAGAAACAAATGCTTTCTTCGCCACAAAGCGAGAAGGTGAATACACTTTTACCCAGTTCAGTTTTCTAAACTGGACCACGACGAAAAAAAAAACCATCCTTTTAAAAGCTTGAACCCTTAAACTAAACCAAGAGATTATGTCTCTTGCCCAAACTAAATCAGAAGCAAAATGCTCAAAAAGGCCTCTGCACTAAGTGGGTTTTGTATTGGCTCCTGGAGAGTTTAACCTAAAATAGCATGGTCTGTTTTTAAGTCTTAAACTTATGTAAACTGATGTAAATATTTGGGCTTGTCTAAATGCCGGAGCTTTCCTTACCTGCCCCTCCCCCCTGTCACTAATTTTTTTGTTACCTCTGTCCCCGTGCCCTCGCGCGACTCCTGCTTGCCTGAAAGGAAACGGAAAAGACTGCTACGCAGGCTATACCGATGGCATAAGTCAGGCCGGTCACTCCCAGGTCCCACACAGTCTTCTTAGCCCATATCCATTATCGTTTGTAACGCAACACCACTTACGTAACACTTGATTCCAGTGGTTTTAGCCGAAGGAAATTTTGGTTGAAGGTAAGTTATTCCACTTTCTGAATCGTCTTTATATCACGCGCACCTAACTTGGGGTTTCCTGCCTTTTCATTCACACTGCCTATTGGAAAAAAAGCGACAAATGCACTCCAATGTTAGCTATCACAACATTTGACCTGTTGTTTTGTAGAGTTTCGTGAACTGGATGCCCCCGGTCTGGGTATGAAGTGATGGCAAAAGGATTAACTGTTACTGTCGTAAAACAAATTTTGTAAAACCCCTGCGCTTCAGGTATCTTTCCTGCTTTCATCTTCTCCGCAACCAATACATTAAATTTGTATCGAACGTGATCGGATCGCATTGCGATATAATGAAATGTGAGCGTGTTTAAAGACCCTTTTTCGCACTCGATCGGGGTAAAAACTGCTCTCAACGTAGGCTACACTGTGACATTGACATGCATGTATCGTCAGACCTTCTCAATAGATATGTTATTTTACACACGTACTGCGTTTTTTCCACTGATGCTAATATTTGTACAGCACAAGTGAAAATAACTCTCGCGTGACGAAGCCAATGACAACAATATCAGGCAAACATTTTATTTCGTCATCATTACATTTCATGCAACATGTGGACGGTCTAAATATATCTGGGCTCGATTTCGGGGTGTAAACAAAATTAAAAGTTTGAGTTTTACTTTGGCAAATACAGCAAAAGATGATGTTTGAACTCGGGTTGACTGATGAGGTAGGTTCCATTCATTAGTTATTTTACTGAAGCGGAACGTTTTACGTCATCGACAAATTGTTACGCAATCCAGGCAATAATTACTACACTACGCCGGAGGAATTTGAAAACGGCGTTTTCGCATCAAATGTTTTCTGTCCACACTGCGCCGGAGGAATTTTAAGACGCAACAATCACCGGTCATTTTGGATTTGTGTTTCACTAACACTCTGGCAAGGAAATCACGTGATTAGCGTGACGCCATCGTTTTCGGAAAGCTCCGTTTTCAAATTGTTTTCCGTCCATACGAAAACGCGAAGCCGACGATTTCAAATTCCTCTGGTTTGAAGAGCGTTTTCGAGAAAGCTCCGTTTTCGTGGCGGATTAGTGTGGACGGTAGGCCTAACCGTTGAATTTCAAATTTCTCCGGTGGATGCTGCCTGATATTCCACCTTACAGTTAAGCTGCAAAAGTACAATTATTTAGTCGATTTTTTTTTTAATTTATAGTTATCCAAATCGATTGCGGAATGATCCTGGAGGCGGCCATTTTGATTATTCTCCTCGTACTGGGCTGGCGGTTGTTTCTCGTCCCTTCACCAAAAAACCTTCCACCGGGCCCCCGCCCCTATCCCCTGATTGGTAACTTAACTCAGTTGGTGGGTAAGCCGATTCATTTGGCCGTGACCGACCTCGCAAAGGAATACGGGAAGATCTTCACGTTGTATTTACCAGGTGGTCAGCGGTGTATCCTAGTCAATTCCATTAGTCTGGCCCGTGAGGCTTTGCTGTCCAAGAAGGACGATTTTGCCGGGAGACCCCGCACGTTCATCGGAGATTATCTCACCCGAGAAGCCAAGGACATATTCTTTGCGGACTTGTCACCGACTATGATCCTGCAGCGGAAACTCACCCATTCTGCACTGCGCATGTACGGAAGTGGACTCAAGCACTTGGAGGGAAAGATAAACGGTGAAGTAGAGCAGTTGTTCAAAAGATTCTCCGCCCATCAGGGAAAGGCAGTCGATCCTACCGACGACATCAGCCTCATGGTTTTGAACGTCATTTGCGCTCTCGTTTACGGGCAAAGTTACGATCTTGAAGACGAAGAATTTCAGCTGATAATGAAGTACAACAATCACTTTGTTCGTTTGTTTAAAGGATTCAATATCTTAGAAATGATGCCCTGGTTGCGCTATCTTCCGATCGAAGAAGGAAGAATCCTTCGCGAGGCGAAAGAATTGCGGGACCTTGTACTGAATGCGAAATACCGCGAACACAAAAGAAAGTTTGATGGCGACCTAGACAAGGACGGGATAAAAATTAACGACTTGACTGACGCGCTGTTGAAGGCGTATTATGACGCGCAAGAAGAAGATGGAAAAATCTCACAGCTGCTGTCTGAAGATCACTTATTAATGATCGTCAATGACGTTTTCAACGCCGGCATTCAGTCCACGACAGCAACGTTGCTATGGTTACTTGCGTACATGGTTAATTACCCAGACATCCAAGCGCGCGTCCATGCGGAGATTGACGAAGTCATTGGTCGAGATCGCAAGCCTCGTCTCGATGACCGTGGCAATCTTCCTTATTTGGAATCCACAGTGGCAGAGGTGCTTCGCATTGCGACAACCACGCCTCTGTCCATCCCCCACAAGTCGACGCGGGAGAGTACTCTGGGGGGATATAACATACCGAAAGATACCATGATGATGACGAATTTGTGGGCGATCCATCATGATCCGGAGGAATGGGAAAAACCAGATGTGTTTCAACCGGAGCGCTTTCTTGATGCCAAAGGAAAGTTTTCAGCTTCGGGTCCGTGGGGATTTCGCAGCTATCTACCTTTCAGCGCCGGTCGACGCGTGTGTCTGGGGGAGTCACTTGCCAAGACTGAGCTGTTTTTAGTCTTCGCCAGGCTCCTGCATCAGTTCACGTTTGAGTGTGCGCCGGGAAAACCACTGCCCGATCTGGAAGGTCACCCTGGTGTTGTGCTTGTTCCTAAATCTTATGAAATCAGCATTAAGAACAGAATTGATTCCAATTCAATTTAGTGTTATAATATTTACTTTCTTGGCTTTCTACCACGCCCGCTTTGAGCTTGACTGTGGACGTATTTCACGCACTTCAACTGGCACTTTTTACGAAGCCTGACTGACCATAAACGTACGATGGGAACAATGGCTTCATATCAGTCTTAAAAGCGAAGTTGATATAACTTTTTTAGTTTATTCTTTCTGAAGATATTTCAAACGACAGGAAAGAGTTTTGAAAAGTACTTCCCATTAAACCGACTGAACTAGCTGGACGTTTCAGTAAAAGAAAGATATGTTTCGAATTATTTCCATAAGATATGTTAACTACTTAACTATTGCTGTACAGAAAGTAAGCATTCTCATTAGTAGGCAAATTTAACTGACTGTTTCGCGGGATTAAAATTAACCCCTTTAAGAAACTTCGCTATTTATTGCTGGCCAGTGACAATTACAATATTTTACTCAAGCTCCTCCAATACTGTAATTAGTATTTTGGGCAAGTTAATATTTTCAATTTTAAGGGAGCTCAGTCATGGAAACCTGAATATAGCAGTTTACTAAGATAGTAAAAACACCAAAGAGATGATCATAAACCATAACGGAACAGGGATGGTTAAGGATGGAGAAGATTAACACGGATTACAAATGATGAACTTAGCTTCAAAAATTTAGGCTAAACTTTTCAGGATACGCAAACCGTAACATAGCATCTTTAAGGAAAACAGTGTTGCTTTTGTGTTTGAAAAAACAAATGTAGAATACATTGGAAGCCCTCGAACAGGGAGACTCTGGAGTGAAAGACTGTTGTTGTTGCTCTCTTTTAAGATAAGTGATTCATAAAAAGTGCAATATATCTTAGTTAGTATTCCATTTCATAATCCACAAGTACAATATAATAAGACACATTCAAATCAAAAGGTTTCCGTTATAAAATTACAATGAGCATAGGGCTAGGTCTAAAGAAAACAGATTTAGCACACACTTGACAAACACTAGAGATGCAAAGGTGGAAGTTGCAATAACGAGTACTTGAGTTAGGAGGTATGTTGTGTAAGACTCATCAATAATCATAAGAAGTTCATTGTATGGTCCTCCATTTTGTTTGGCCAGCGGTGCAACATACTTCCGTGTATTTCGAATGTACGTGACGTAATCTTTGCTATTTTGCAAAAGATCTTCCAAGAAATCTAGCACTTGTTTCAGGTCTTCTTTCGCGAAGTCCCGAAGCAGATTCCATTGACGAATAAAGTAATGAGGCAGCAATTGTTTCTTGTAAGAATCTATAAGTTTCTTTACCATGAACTCAAACAGACCGCCTAGTCGCCGATCATCTAGATTATAGTAATCAAACCCAGTTTCTGTCTCTGCGAGCCATAGAAACAAAGTTTTCAGATAATACGATGCTAAAACCTTATTTGTATCCAACCTCGGTTTCAAGTGTTTCTTGTATGCGTACCTTAGCATGATGTAACAAAGCTTGAGCGCGTGTTTATCACTGTGATACTGAAGCAATGTTCTCTCTGCTTTGGAGAATGAAAACCTCCAGTCTAGTTCAGGATCTTCAGATAAACCTGATGGCTTGTAGACTAAATGGCATCCACTTCCTGCGATTTTTTGAATGGTACCGATGCTAAGAAGGTGCGACTCTCTGTTCGCGCGATTCAACCATTCTGTTGCCACATTAGGCCAAGCAGAGAAGGTCAAGGACACCGCAACATCAATAACTCTCATATAGCCATAACGCTCCTGGTGCAATTCTCTTGCTTTGAATGTTACTGCCGGCTCGTTCTTCACGACGTGGAAGTCAAGATCTTCACTTCTGGATTGTGCAATCCTTAGAAAATGCTGATATATCGCGCTTGCGCTTACAAACTGTTGATTCGCTTCCTTTAACACTTCGAGCAGATCCGACGTTCGTGTTCCTATTTGCTGTAACAAGTTGCTCATTCGCACCCAAACAAAACCCACGGGTGTGCGTGTTTCGTCGACATCCAAGTCTCGAACGGCAAACATCTTCGGAGAAACCATCACATCAATGTCCTGTTCAGTTCCTGTTACCTCGACTGAAAAGAAACCGTAGCGCTCCATTACACTGCCACACTTCTCAAGTGAATACAAATCGTCTCCTTCTCCCATGACAGGCGGAAGCAGATCGAAGTCTTCTCGGTAAAGATTTTTTGCCAGTTGCTTCTGGATAAAGCCATCTACTCTATGAGCTTTTCTTAGAAGACTATTCATTGGATGTTCCTTGGCGCGCTGGTACAGCAGTAATGCTATAAAGAAGAATGCTCCAGTGAACACTGATGCAACAAGTATGTCAACAAATCCCAGACGGCGCACAATAGTCCCGTCCATGACTGCGATATTTTCGATTTAATCTTGAGAATTCGAACTTCATATCACAATTAAATCATCCAGATGTGCTAATCAACCAAGACTGAAGCCTGGAAACATCTCCTTGCTTATGATTCCTACCGTTTAGTTCTTAAAAACGTGTAGAGGGAAAACAACGTGAACTAAATCTTTTAGTACATGGAGTGCTACCGCTGATCGCGGCTGCTGATGAAGGCATGGGTCTAATTCGTATTCCGCGTTTCCTTCTTATTGCAGGCGCATACAGAAAATTCACAAACTGTTCAACCTCTCGTTTTCAGCATTTATAGGGATCTTCTGTGCCACTGCCACTGAAAATAAACACACTTTGAAAGGACGAGTTTGAGTTTCCTGAATGAGTGTATCGCGGATTGACTCTACACATTTTTTATCTCTAAAAACTTCACGCACATGATTGTTTTTCGTTTGGGGGAGGGGGGCGGGGGGCGGAGAGGAAGAGAGGGGAGGGGAGGAGAGGAGAGGGTAGGGCGGGAAAAAGTGGTTTAAAGGAAGAAATTTTGATTGAACTGAGGAGTACTCAACCGACATGTAATAAAAAGATAAAAATGAAACCGGATGCGACGAGTAATTAATGACAGCCTGACTGGGTGAATTATTGATCATTAATTAATACACTGTCATGATCAACAGTCCGTGATCACCACCATTATCGTCAACGTAATTTCGTCGAAGAGAAACCAACAACAGAGCTGATCATCATAACATTTCGATTTTTCAAATCTTTAAAGGTTTTCAGCTTTTTCCAGTTTTCAGTTTTAAGGTTTTCAGGTTTTCAAAAAAAATCTCACAGTTTCAGCAAAGAGCCAAAAACGAAGAAGGGAAACTGGGCATGTGATTGTTATCGTTATAAAGTACCATATGTCTCGATATCGTGGCTTGAATTAGCAGGAATCACCGTCTCCATATCTCATACACTTCATTTGCGTATGCTAATTTCCCCTCTGCTTTGTTTCGGTGACGTTTTGAGATCTACTCTTTTCTAAGTTAGTTGTTTGTCGATTTCCCTATGGTTGTTGACTCCGACAGTTCTTTTTTTTATCAACATGACTACCATTTTAGACAAAATCGACAAGTGAAAGAAGAAGGCTTTCAGGAAAGGCGAGTGTAAAGGGAATTGCAGTCGCCTTTTTGAACAAAGGCAGTTTTTATATATTCAGCGGAAAACACCTGACCGTAATGGACGAAAGGTAAAGAGTATAGCAACTGACTTTACTCAACAAGCATAGGCGATGGCTCAGAGTTAGTTTTCATCAGTGCTCCGATGCTCGTTTCATTTATTCAAAATCCTTCGAATGAACTATAATCCAAGAGAAAACAATTCTTCAAACATTTTGATGTCATTGAGTTGTTTGATATTCAAAGTGATCTCATTTACTGGAAGCAGACGGTTGTTGTCTCTTAACATACAATCTTTTGCGAAAAGAGGTTTTTGTCAGTTCTTGTTCGCCACCGCTGCATGACTTTCACTGATCGATGATTCTGACTAAAATATTAATTTTAGTCGAGTTTTAATATCGTTTAAACCTGAAATAATCTTTAAGTAAGATAGATTATCAACAGAATAGTTTGAGGATTTAGAATTCAACATTAATGTTCCAAACGGCTTAAATTTTGAGTCTCTAAATTGAACCGGCCGCGGCGAATTTTTCACAACATGTTCAATTGTCAATTGTTTTAAGCTCACTGTGAGAGATACAACACGATTTTTGCGACGCAGTTTACCACAGAATTTAGAAATTAGTCGACTGAGGGTAACTCAAAGATATACAATGACAACTTTTTTTTTTTTTCATTATGTGTCACTGTAGCGCGGAACTCACGAAATCAGATAAGGAAGATGGTAGGAAAACATACATGGAAATATGGCGAAGACGACTGACGGAAACATACGAGGCCCAAGGCAGCTGCAAGGAATGTTGCAGGTAAAATTGAACACATAGAGTGTGGTTTGTAAATGGCTCATTCAGAAAGTTGTTTTCAGAACAAACAAGTAAATTGAGGCTCTGTTCATATATTCTCGGACTACAACAGAAAATAGGCCGCGCATGAGTGTCCTTTTTGACTAGCTGATAAATTAATTACTTGAAAGCTGCAATAGCTAACAAATAGAGAGTCGAATTCAAGTGAATATGATATTGTGATGAAAACGGACGGGAAATCTGTAAAACGTAAGCTGTCGATTGACCGTTCTTCACATCAAAGGAGCTACGTCACGGTTTATGCACACGTCACGGATTTTTGCCTCGTGTCCGCGTGACCAAAGTCACGCGGACACGAGTTATATGTAGTGGCTTCTGCATTCCTGTGTAAGGATTCGTCGCGCTCCTGTGTAAACCATTCTTTACGTTCCTAATATAAGATTCGTATGAAGGGCGGCTCTGGAAACTCTCGGGTTGATCAATTTTGTCTACGAAAGATAGGCATATAAAACGCTGAATTGACGGCTGTTTGTGCTATTGATTTTGGCAACCATTCGGTACAGATTGAAGACACTCCGTTTATTCCTATTTTTCAAGGAGATTGGCATGCCGACCTTGGAGGCTCAAGCATTTGCAGCGTTTTACTTTGAGTTCGAGCCCACGGTTTACACAACTAGCTCGCGATTTAATCAATTTGGACATCAAATGACAGGCTAGACATTGAAATGACGTGTTTTATTCACGCAGACAAAACTAAAGATCACAATGGGCGGATTAAAAACTAACAACTAACGCGTATTTTCTGCGAATAAACAAACAGGTATAAATCTAAAAAACAAAATTAGTTAATGTTGTGTATGTTATTTCAACCGAACAATAGTTATTTTTGATGAATTGCAAAGGAATAATAATGGATAAAGCATTTGGTCTGTTGTCAGTAAATCTGACTACAAATGTCAGTTGTCAGTTATTAAGGTTTCGGTTCGGGTATCTGTCAGTTGTCAATTTTTTTTTCCCTCAGGTATCCCCATCCAGAATTTCTTTCAATAAAATGTAAGGTAGACAGAATGCAAGTGTACACGTATCACTACCAATCTCTTCGATCTGGCCTGATGATCCTGTTTTGTGGGCGTGGCTTGAAACATTATTCTCCCCTAAGCTAGAGGCACCAATGCTTACATAACATATTATCTGCTGCTCCTGTCAAAATGTTTCGGCTCAATACCGCACAAGCTCCAGCTGTGGACCTTTTGAGGTTTAGCACCCTAAGAGGTTCCAAAACTACTTTTTTAATCCTTAAAAGGTACGACGAGCAACCCCCCCCCCTCCCCCACCCACGGATGACGCTTCAGGCCAGAGTCCTGGGCCACAGGGAGAATCTAATTGTGTGCTGCTATTAAAGCGATCGATGTGCAGAGAATCGACTTTCAGTTGAAACAAGACGGACTTACAGAGCGAAACGGCTTTGTAGCGAAAAGACCGGAGAATCCGCGAAGTTTGGTGTCGCTCACATAGTGAACTTGAGCTACCTTTGACACCTTGGCTACTTGTGGAATAAGTAAAGGAAAAAATATTTTACGGTAACTACGGATATACAATGGCAACTGCAACTACCAGTCATACTCGCGGGGCAAGCCCGCAGCAAAGTAAACGGTATTTGTTATTTAATTTTTATAATGTTTAGTCGTCTGACTCGAACATCACATTCTCCGTGGCATTCTGTAATTGCGATTAGCATGGCCGAGTTTTTAACCCTTTCAAGACGCTGGGAATCGAAGACGCCGTTGTTTCAGTTTGCTCAAAATAATGTATTAATAATGTTTGCTGGTGTTCAGTGAGTGTAACTAAATTCTAAGTGCGAGAAACTCATATGTTTACTTATTCCGCGAAATGTAAATCGCTACCCATTCGTTATGACTCGTTGGTAGATCGTGTTCAGAGCCAGAAGGTCAGAAGAAGTTCGTTTTCGCCTGGATTTGTAAGGTACCGGCATTGGCAGATATTATTTAGGCATTGATTTTCATTAGCAGTTGCCTGTAAAAAAAAGTAGAAAACAAATAATTTTAAGAAAATAAGGGTTTTGCATTTAATTATGTGCATACTTTCTATAAAAGGTAGTCACCTAGGAGAGGGTTAAGCTATTACTAACAGCTACTTAACAACCAATTATTAACAGCCACTTAACTGACAGCTGACCCTCTCAAAGCAAGACGTATAGTACGAGCGAAACGTTACTAGCGTACTTGCGTTACAAGTGAACGAATCACCCGGAACTGATTCGCGATGACTGGTTATCTATTCGTCTGTTACAGATTATTATAGCTTTAAGCTGGCTTTGTCAAAGAGCCCCGTAAATGTACTTGAGATGGAATTCTAACCTGTGTGACGATCTGTTTTGACCAGGTCGTAAATACTGAAGTCCCAAGGAACGAAATAAAACCCTCACATTTAACGAGCATATTTCTGCATACAACCTGAGACAATCAGATTTTTCTGCTCCTAGATAAAACACTGTTACTTATGGGAAGCACTCTTTGCGTTATGTAGGACCCAAATTATGGGGCAAACTGTCTATGGCTGAAAGATCAGCAAAGACACTGCAGGCTTTTACAAACTATATTCGCAAAAGGGATATAACTCGCTTAATGGACACCGGCTGTAAGAGCTGCATCCTATGCTGTACATAATGCCCTTCAAGTCATTAATTTTTTTATTGTATTAATATTAGTATTAGTTTTTTAGCAGTGTCCCCTAATTAGTATGGTGTTTTTATTCCGAGGTTATAAGGGTTTTTTTTTTTTGACACTTTAATAAAGTTCTCACTCACACTCACAAAATCAAGAGAGCACATTGACTGACTGAGCTCCTTTAAGCATGTTTTATGCCAGCATTAATGCCGGCTTCTTTTTGCGGGAAACAATATCACACTAATTCCAGTAAAACATGTTTAATCGCTTTTATCCAATCAGAGCGTACGTAATCTAAACCATATTTTAAAGCAAACAGGAGTATTTATGATTAGAACCCAACCCCACTAACTAGGTTGTATTTACGTCGTGTCTGTAACATATAGAAAATTCCTCTTTTTTGCCGTTTCAAGGGTTCTTCGCCACTCATTGGCTGTAATGTTGACAGGAGTCACTTGGCAGTTAGGGATCGTCATCCTGGTCTTAATTGAAGTGCTCATCAACCTCGTTCTCATGCTGATCGAATTCCACGTCATTAAAGGTACTGGAACGACGGTTTTGAAAAAAGAAATTTCGACAACGAAGTTATTACATGCAGTGTCAGCGGTTTGACCAATCAGTGGCAATTTTACAGTAATTTAAAGTCGATGCTATCAAAGTTGAGAGGGTTTGATAAATATTGGAGGTCGCCTTTAAACTAAAATGATTTAAGTCCCAAAGGAGTTTAGAGCTCTCCTTATTCCATAGGGTTTCAAGGTTTCGATGGGATTCTAATGTATGAGATTCTCTATAACGAATCCCACAGAGTTCTCTAAGGATTTCACTCTTGATCAAAGACGGGACTGAATTTAACTTGAGGTCAGTTGGCAAAAATATGGACATGAGATCACACGCGCCTGATTAGCTCTGTTGATAGAGCGCCAGACTGTGCGGGAGGTCGAGGGTTCGAGCCCCACACCGAACCAACACTCAGGGTCTTAAAATAACTGGGGAGAATGTGCTGCCTTTGTAGACTTTGTAATTACATATGCAAACGGTTAGACGCTCAAGTCTTCTCGGATAAGGACTATAACCCGTAGGCCCCGTCTCCTGCATCTTCAGTGTTAAATGGTTAGCAGGGGACGTTAAAGAACCCACACACTTCTTGCAAAGAGTACGGAGTTCCCGGTGTTGTGGTCTAACCTTGTTTAACGGGTTGGTGCTTCACATAAAGTTAACCTCATTGCGCCTTTCTCCCTTGGACAGAACTGTCTAAGAAAAATTGCTATGTCTTTGTGTATTTCTGTGTCACGTTTAGGACTAACTTTCCTTTTTTCAGATGAGAGTCACCTATCAAGGCACCTTCTTCATTTTGTTGGTCTGTCTATCCTTGGTGTCTTCGTCTTAGAGGTCAGTCTTTGCGGAGTTTTTAAATTCAAACTTTTAACCTTTTCTTAATGTAAAGGTGCTGGTTTCTAATGCGCCTCATCGACTGATTCACCGAACATTCTTTTTCACAGGTTTTTCTCAAATTCTATGCAATGGGATGCGAGTATTACTTAGAGGAGAAAATGGAGGTAAGGCCTCAACTGTGCAGCTCTTGCGTCAATATCTCTTTCCAACAGTAACACACACAGTCCTTATACATAACCGATGATCTATTCCACTCTTCAGATATTTGATGGCTTTGTGGTCGTATCAGCCTTCGTAATTGAGGTAGTGCTAAGGTGAGTCAGTTCTGCAACCAAACCCAACACAACATCATGCCGATAGTGTCAACCAAGTACTGTCTGTATGGTAAGCTCCCACGCTTTACTCTGGCCAGCGGTTACTAAACGAGGAACGAATTTTTCTCCCTTTTGTGGACCGCTGGTCAATAGGAACGCGTGAGTGAGTGGTTGTCTGGAAGAGGTAAAATATAGGAGAGCAGGGAGTGGGAAAAAACACGAAGAGCACCAGATGAAATCCTCGAGAGAAACATTTATCGGTTCGAGAGAATTATATGTCCATAAAACTAGACACAAATCGTGCAACAATCAATTTCGCATAGTCTACTTAGACCAGTATGGACGAAGAAACATCGGAAAGGGGCCTTTGCACGAAGTATTACTCATGTTACGTGATTTACCTTTCAGTGTAATCCGCGCTAAGAAGGCATGGAATGGCTTGGCTTTTATTATCGTTCTTCGACTGTGGAGAATTTTTAGAGTTGTCATTAGTAAGTATTCTTTTTCTTTTTTCAGCTAAGTTAATCTTGTTATTCTAGAGAATTATGTTCAACGGCCTTTACACGTAAATAAGGTTCATTGAAAAGTCTGTCGGCCGTGTTCAACACCAGACTAGCGCTAACGGGTAAAGGTAAAGTCTGCATACGAGCCAAGTGGCCTATAAGGCCGGTACGTGCTTATCTCCGGTTTCAGTAGCATGAAGCGACTAGGAGTATTTCTACTCCCCCAGGATGGAATGCTAGCCCATCACAGGGTTACCCCCAGCATTAATTTCGCGCTACTCATTTATGCATCTGGGTGCAGAGAGGCACTGTGAGAGTAAAGTGTCTTGCCCAAGAACACAACACAATGTCCCCGACCAGGGCTTGAACCCGGACCGCTCTATGCGCAGACGAGCACACTAACCACCGCCGACCATCGCCGCGATAATCAACGCTCTTTATTGTTTTTCTCAGATATAGTTGCCTTCAAAGAAGAATTTTACGAACTAATTGATGACGTAGATGCACCGCCCAAACAAGAACACATGGAAACAGAGGCAACGGACTCAGAAAAGAGCGAAGAGAAACAAAAACAAGCTGGGAACAACTGAGCTTGAGTAGATCAATAGGGAGTTTAAGGCCCCGTGCACACGTATCCGGCCGGATATTTTTGAATGCGCAACTTTTTCTTTCCGGACCCGGCTTCCGTCCAGACCTACCCGGCGAATTCGGCAGCGAATCCGGATGTTTTTGAATCTGCTCTCCCGAGCGGAAAAAAAATAAATCCGATAACGTGTGGACAGTAAATCCGGATATTTTCCAATACAATGACGTAGCAAAATCGTGGCCAGTCTCTTACCGAACAATAAACCAATATGGCGGCACAACGTGTAGGCCTGGTTTCTCTAGAGTGAATCCGGATACCATCGAATACGTGTGGACAGGCGGATTCGATTTGAATGCGCTACGTGTGGACGGGGAAATTTTTGAATCCGGAGAGAAAAAGTTGCGGATTTAAAGAATATCCGGATACGTGGGGACGGAGCCTTAGAAAGGCAACGGCAACGTCGTTAAACAAAAGGTTTAATGAGCAGTACAGTGGCTGTGCACGTGCGTTATAATTCTTGGTACATTTCTTTCCCGTCCTTTGCAAAACAACAACGTGAAATGACCAAATTCTGCGTTGTCCGTAGAACGTGAACCACGACGGATAATTTGTTAAATTTCTATATCAAATTTATCACTGTGTTCCAGATTTAGTTTCGAGATAGTTTTGACTGTTATAAACAAAGTAAATGACTTTCGAGCACCGCGAGATTCGTATGTAAAATACAAATTCATTTTCTAAATGACTATATTCGTAGTTAAGACTTTCGACAAAGCTAGGCTTTAACTAGAAATGTTTTAAAGTAATTCTACTTAATTAAATGTGAAAAGGAAGGACGGAATTGCGCAAAATTATGAACTAACGCGAACGACAAGCAATTTTTTTTTTTCATACTAGAAATTAACGAAATAGCACAAACAAGACACCTACAGTAATGGCCAGAGCACAATAAGGACAATATATTCCGATGAAAAGATTCCTATAAAACTGAGGAGCTACCTGAATTCTTAAGAAACGTTGACTTAAGATTAAAATGAAGCAAGTAGATAAGCTGTTAAGGTTCTTGACTGCATAGCTATACGTTGGGAAAAGCTAGATTCATACTCTTAGTCGAAAATAATATAATTAAAGTTGCAGAAATTAGAGTCA